TGGTGCTCACCAGGGGTCCATGTGGGGGGAGAGGGAGGGGTACTGTTAGGGTGGACACGTACCTCTACACTTGTCAAACCCACAGGATGTACGATATGAAGGGTGACCCTCCCCATTAGCTCTGAGCGTTAGTTAAGGATGTGTAGACACTAGTTGTAGCCAGGGTACCACTTTAATATGGAAACCATTGGGAAACCTTAGTGGGGAGAGAGGACATATATGGGATCTCATTACACTTTCTGATCAATTTTTCTGTTACTAAGACTACTCTAAAAAAATAAAGACTATGCAGGGTGTGGTGGTGCACACTGGAATCCCAGATCTCAGGAGGCAAGTTCAAGGTTAACCTGGGAAACTTAGTGAAATCCTGTCTCAAAATAAAAAATAAAGATCTAGGGATGTAGCAAAGTGGTAAAGTACCCCTAAGTTCAATCCTTAGTAAGAAAGAGAGAGAGAGAGAGGGAGGGAGGGAGGGAGAAAGGAAGACAGAAATTAAGTTTAAGGAGGTGGGATGTGCTCAGTCTTAAATGAGTTCTTAGTGTTAATAAGTTCCTAAGTATCGATGGAGCCTCTTCCATGTGTGACACACTGGCCCATTCCTTGTCTCCTTTAATCTTCCTGACAACCCAGCAGGTCCTGACAATCCCTTCCCGTAACAAAGGCACCGAGGCTCAGAGAGGTTTAGTGACCAGAGTGCACAGCAAGTAAGGTTTTTTGTTTGTTTGTCTTGGTTTGTTTTGGTTTGCTTGTTTGGTTGGTTGATTGGGTTTTTGTTGTTGCTGTTGTTGTTGTTTGTTTGTTTGTTTTTGTTTTTGTTTGGTACTGGGATGGAACCCAGGGCCTTAGCACATGCTAGGCAAATACTCTACCACTGAGCTATATCCCCAGCCCCTTTTAAATTTTATTTTGAAACAGAGTCTCACTAAATTGCCCAGGCTGGCTTCCAACCTGTGATCCTCCTGCCTTGGCCTCTGGAGTAGTTGGGATTCCAGGTGTGGGCCACTAAACCCAGCCATATTTTGTGACTTTGGGGGAGTTATCAGTGTTGATTGGTTTGGTTTGTTTGTTTCGTGGTGCTGGGGATTGAACCCAGGGCCTCCTGCATGCTAAGCAGGTGCTTCTCCACTGCAGTTGGATTTTAAAGTGTCATCTTCAGGCTCAAGGTCACTGTCCCCACCACACAGTGTGTCCGGTTCCTGTGGCCACAGTAGGGGCCAGATCAATGCTATTGTGCCGAGGCACAGGGTCATCAAGCTGCTTTTAAAGCCCCCCTCCTAGACTCTTGGAGAAAGAAACTCAGCCTCCAGAAGGGCTTCCTGGGCTCTGCCACCTTCTCCAGCCAAGTTTCTTTTGGCCCTTTTGGAGAGAGCCGCTTCCAGCAGTGGCCACGGCTAATTATTCTCTCTGGTGAACTCACATCACAGTGGGCCCAGAGGAGCCACCTGCTTTCCATGCAGAGATGAAACCCGGGAGACGACAGGCCTCTGCACAGGATTACATCTTGATCAAATACGGCTGCCCTGAGATTTACCATTCCTCCAAACACGGGGCCACAGAGGAAGGGGGTTTGTGCACCCAACAAGGACCGCCCCCCTGTCTGTTGGTATCTTACAACTCAAGGAACAGACTCACCTTCCGGGGCCTCACTTTGGGCAACACAGAGATTGCATTCTCACGTTTGTGGGGACAGATGCTGCTGCAGGCCCATTTACCTTTGGGGAGCTCTGTCTAAATAAAATCAAACTGCCTTTCATGTCAAGGATCTCAAAGCATTTTTAAATGAGTCATTAATGAATTTCAACCTCCAGAAAGAGCAAGAATTATTATCTTCATTTTATAAATAGATCAAAGGTCACACAATCAATGGCAGATGTGGGAAACAGATGTAAGTGTTCTGCTTTTGTCCCCGGCTGCTGCTGCCGTCAAGCCGCCCCCACCCCCCCAACTCTAGGATCACTAACAGACCTCCTTTTGCTCTCTGACTTCTGGCCAAAGATGTAGAATTGGCCTTTATATGTTTCCACTTAGAGGTTTGAAATCTATGTATGGTTCATATGCCTTTGATATGTCTGGAATTTATAAAAGAAAAGGAGAAGAATGATATTTGATGCTTTTCAGAGATTGCATTGGGACTGAGCCTTATATTGTGGGTCAAATGCCAATAAAAGGAAGAGAGAAAAAAACTCGGTCACCAGATCTTCAGGAGGTTCACTTTTATTCTCTCTTTGAAAGAACTTTCTGTTAAAATTAAGCAGAATGTATCTTTAGGGACCAAAATGATTACTGTGAGAACGCTGAAAGTCACCACTTATTGAGAGCCAGAGATGTGCTTACACATCTATCATGTTATGTGATTCTCACAGATACCTGAGGTTTTTATTATTCATTTGCTTATAGGCAATCTTTTTTTTTTTCTTTCTCTTAGTACCAGGGATTGAACGCAGGGGCATTTTATCACTGAGTCATGCCCGCACCCCCCCCTCCCATCCTTTTTATCTTTTTATTTTGAGACAAGGTCTCACTAAGTTGCTAAGGATCTCACTAAGTTGCTGAGGCTGGCCTCAAACTTGCAATCCTTGCCTCCAGGGTTGCTAAAATTACAGGCATGTGCCACCAGACAGGTCATCCTATAAGTAATCTAACTGAGCATCAGGATAGAAGATAGGTTGAGAAGAATTTGGGGTGGAGGGAGGGGCACAAAAAATTAATTAATTAGACTGATAGTATAATCCGTGCCAAAGGCACTGTGTTGTGACAGGTGTTGGAGATACAAAGATGAGCAAAATTTGATCAGAGTCCCGCTCTCAAGGGGTTGATAGCTTTGTGGGAAGCTGAGGGTGACAGTCAGGAAGGCAGACATGTTTAGGAAATGAATGATGTCAATTGTCAATACATTTCAGTCTGCAAGTATTTAATGAGTCCCTGGTATGGGTTAGACACTGCACTTGGTCCCAGGGGCAGGTCCCTCTCCTCGTGGTGCTTATAGTGTAGTAGAAAAGCCAGATAATAACTCAAATAATCACACCAGTTTAAAATTGCAATGGAGTGGAAGAAAAGACAGCAGACGGGCCACAGCCTGACAAAGGAGTAGTATCCAGAATGTATAAAGAACTGCTGCACATAGTAAGAGGTGATCCAATAGAAACACCGTCAAATAAGCCAATGGGCAACTTAAGAGGAGAGGCAAATGGCCAATAAACAAAGAAAGTATGATCTGTCTCTCTCACTTGTAAACAGGGAATTGCAAATTAAAACACTGAAATGTCATTTCACACCCATCAGCTTGGCAAAAAACTTGAGGTTTGACATTACCAAGTGTTGTTGAGGCTGCGGAGAGCGGGAACTCTCATGTCTTGCTTTCGAACTGTGAATCAGTACAACCACTTTGAAAAACCATTTAGCCATGACTACAGGGCTGCCAGTTCCCAAGTCCTGAACCCAGCAATTGCACACCCAAGCACCTCCCCTGAAGACTCACTTTCACACAAAGGGATGGGTATAAAAAAATAGCAATAGTAGCATCAGTTTTAATTTAAAAAAAAAAAATTTGTTTAAAGCGGAATATCTCCCAGAGGCAGCTGGTAAACACAGTATACCGAACTTATATAATGGAACCTAAAATGTATGTGAAAATGTATGTATTGAACTCATGTATCAATGTGGATACATTTAAAAATCCTACAACTGAATAAAAAAAAGCAAGATGCACAATTATATATTCAGTATAATGTCATTTCTTCAAAGTTTAGAAACATGCCAAACAATTCCATAAAGTACTTACAGGCACAAAGATATATAGTAAAAAAAAACAAAAGCAAGCATTTGCCTAGCATACATAAGGCCCAGGGTTATATCCCTAGCACTGCAAGATGATGATGATGATGATGATGATAACAATAATAACAATAATAATAATAATAATAACAATGCCCACAAAAGCATACATGGGAATGATGAGCCCCAAATGCAGGAAACTGGTTACCATAGGAAACAGATCTGGAAGGTTTTATGACCTTTGAAAAAGACCTACATTTGCCAGGTGTGGTACTGTATGCCTGCCTGTAATCCCAGCTACTCAGGAGGCTGTTAAGGCAGGAAGGATGGCAAGGTCAAGGCCTGCCTGGGCAACTTAGCAAGACCTTGTCTGAAATTTAAAAAAAAAAGGATGGATTGCTGAAGATGTAGCTCAGAGGCAAAATAAATAAATTTGAATTAAGCAGGGCAACTGTTAAACTTTGACAAAGGGAAAGGAGGGGAAGGCACGAAGGATAAACAGATGATTATATTACTCCCTGGAGGTTTTAATGGTTTAATTTTTAAAATTTCCACTTTGAGCTACCAGAGGAGGATTTGATGAGTTGGGGATGGGCTGGAGCAGGTGAATCGGGAAGAGTGGAATGAAAAACAGCAAGTAGAAAGATCCTGAGTGGGAGGGTGAACACAGAGAGCCCCTGTGTGGCCAGGGCAGAGGGAGGAAGGGGCTGGATTTGACCCTGTACAGACCACAGGCCACCCTGAAGGATCAGGCCTCTCTCTCTCCCCAGAACCTGATAAAAAACAGAAGGCCCAGGGACACTACAACTCAGCCACAAGGCAGAACAGGAGGTGGGGGCGTCCTTGTAAAGGTGACTCACATCTTGAGTTCAGGAGTGAGTAAGAGGAAGCCCACTGGGGGAGGGAAGGAGATGTGAATTCCCTAGATACGACCTAACAACAACGAAGACCCTGAAGATCTCAAATAGTGTGACGCCCGTATTCTGGGGTCCAACAACAGGCTCCAGATCATAAAGTGTTAGAAAATGGCAGACGTTAAGAGTCCATGAAGACAAGGAGGGTCGGAGTCCCAGGCTGGTCTGCCTTAAGAGAGTCGTGGCCAGAGATGGGTTACAGGTAGCGCACTCCGGCCCCGCCCCGCGTGTGCGGTGGATGTGGAGGAGGCAGCAGTGCTGACACGGAAACCTTTGAGAAGCAAATGTTACCAGCCCACGGGGAGGGACGAAGGTCTGAATGAGGATAGCTGGAATGCGGCTGGAGCATGCCTGGAGAGGGATTTAGGAGGGAACGCGAGGCGTCTAGGACGATGGGGAGGGTGGGCACGCCATCACTGAGGTGGACAATATTAGGGCAAGGCACAGCGAGTTGGAGGTGCGTGCGGGGCAAGCCAAGTGGAACTCTCCCGCAAGCGATGGGAAGGGCGTTCCGGGACCGCAGGCGCAGAGCTGAGTGGGAGGCGCCTCCTGTGGGTGGATACGAACCACTGACAGCAAAGGAGCTGGTCCAGAGGGCCGAGGGAGAAGGAAATGAGCGGGCCACCTGGGGTCAAGGAGGAGTGGGATTGGGGCTGGTAGGGGAAGGAGAGGGCAGGGAGGAGAAGGACCACGCAGACTCCAAGCGGCCTCCGGCGGTCTGCCCGCTGCGTGTTGGGAGGGCCCCGGGCATCGGAGCCGATGTTGTCACCTCGGGTCTCCAGGCGGGGTTGCAGGCGGAGCCCCGAGTGGCACCCGGCGCAGGCAGGCGCGGAAGAGCCCACCGAGGGAGGGCCTTCCCGCCTACCCTCTAGCAGCATTGGAGAGCCCGGCACCCGCGCGGCTGGAGTATGGCCCCGGACGCCTCCTGCGCGCGGCAGGACAGCCTGAGCCATCGTCACCACCCCAGGTTCCCCGTGCATCCAGGCCGCGCCTCCCCTCGCCGCGCCTCCCGGCCCGAGGGCCCGGCTACGTCACTGCGGCTCTGACGCGCGCTAATGGAGGCACGGGCGGAGGCGGCGGGGCGCGGGCTTCCTCCCGGGAGGTCCCGGTTCTTGCAACCCACCGCCGCGTCCTTGGCCCTTCTCCAGGGGAACCTCGATTTTCCAAATTCGGGAAGGCTGGCTGTCCTTCGACTACTGATAAGGACGCGAGCGCATGGTAAAAGATTTTAACAATGCCCGGAAAGAAATAGCTGGACCCGAAAAAGAGACTAATAATAGCCACCAGCTAGAGCTCTGCTCGTGTGCTCAGCGCCCTTAAGAACAATAATGACGACAACAACCATAATAGCTACCATTTATTGAGCGCTTACTCTGTGCCAGGCACTGGGTTAAGCGCTTTGCAAGCAACAACCCTCGGAGGTAAGTACCGTTATTATCCCTATTTTGCAGGAAACCGGGGCAGAGAGGTTAAATAACTTGCCCCAGGGCACACAGCTAGCTGATGCCAGTGCCAGAATTCCAACCCAGGTTGTCTGATCCCATGTAATCCTCATGTCCACCCATTATGGTCGGGATCATCCTCTCCATCTTAAAGATGAGGAAACTAAGGCACATGGGAATGTAAGTACCTTGCCCAAGGTCACCTAGCTGGAAAATGGATGAGGCAGAAAGCGAACCCAGGGCTCCTCTCTGTCCGCAGAACCCGCGGTCTTGGCCTTAGGCGATGCCACTTCCAAACCACCTCCGATAGCCCAGCAGGCTTTGGCCCCTGGTCCCAAGAGGCGCAGCCCCTGATAGGTTTGGGTGAGTTCCTGTGGCCTCCGATCCCCTGGTGCATCGAGTGTTTCCGAGCATCGTCCCTGCTTGGCCCTCTGGTTTAGGAAAGGAACGCATCTGCGGGAATCTCGTCTTGGACCTGGCGCGCGGTCCTGGGAAGGAATGGAGCGGGGGCGGGTGCAGAGGGAGGGATCCAGAGTCCCACTAGCAGAGCCGCGGAGCCTGGCCCAGGGTTTGCCCCGCGCAGCCGGCAGAGGGCGCTGCCGCACGCGCCTAGAGTCCCACGGTCACCAGACCTAGGGGCAGGCATACCTCCACCTACGGATGCCTGGACTCAACCCTGGATCAAGAAGCTTTCTTCCTGGGGGCTGGCACCCTCAGAGCCCTCCCCACAGTACTGGATCTGCTTTACCTGACTTCGCTTCCCCCTCTTTTGCGCTTTTGTCACCCCACCATCTGCCTCCAAGGCTTCCCCACGCCCTGCACCACGGATTGATTCACCTCCTGCTGAGAGGCGAGATACTGATCCCATTCCAGGCCCTGGAGCTCGCAAATCCAACTCGACCTTGTCTTCCCTTCCGGTGGGCCCTTGGGTGATTTAAAATGGGGACGAATGGAATCATCCTCTTGGAATAGATAACGAATTTTCTTTCTTTCTCCAAAATTAGAGGGGTGGTGGTGGTTAAGAAGGAGTAGACAGATGAAAGGTTCTATTTTCATAATAGCTACCGCCTATTGAAGGCTTCTTTTGGGCCAAGCCCTTTATATGTCTTAACTCATTGATTCTCACTACAGCTCTGAGAGGTCTGGGTATTGTTCCTACCTGATGGATGACTATGTCAGGAAACTGGTAAGTAGCAAAGCTGGGATTCCACCAGGAGTATTTAGATTTTAAGTCATGTCCACGTCACCCAGGATGTACAAGGAAACACATTGATCAAAAGAGGTAGGATATACAACCTCAAACTAACTAAGAGTGCCCCATTGAACTGAGGACTGACTAGCTTTCTGGGCTCCACTTTGGGACTCAAATATCTGAAACAGAAAAACAAACCCTAAAGGTGCTATTGGAGACTAGGACCAAGGTTTTTCGCTTCTACTTGGAAGAGCATCCGGAGAGGCCCACTCACTTTCTATGTCTGGGCTCTAAGGAAATAAAGGTGGTTCTAGGAAAATCTGAAAAATATGGAAGGAAAAAAAAATCCCTTCTGTGGTTTTTGCTTTAACCAAGTCTCATTTTGCTATTTGCGTTTCATTTTAAAATTAATGTGGCTCTCCCCACCCTTTAAATTGGCACATAAATAGCAAAAACAGAAGGAAAGCCCGCTACAAACTTAAAATGTGGTGGGTTCTCAGGAAGGAGGGACATGACTTGAAGTGGAAATGAGGATTAAATGAGGTGCTTTAAACATTTCAAAGACAGATTTTCCACAAGGAATTTAGAGCATAAGCCCTTAGAATAAGAGCTCTGTCTGGGCCAGGCTGGGTATAGTGTCTAGAATTTGCACTTGCTGAATGGATGTGGGAACGCAATCACACTTGTAGGGAATGCCTACACCCTCTAACCATCTGGGCCACCACTGTGCTTATGGTCTTAAAATGCAATCTAGGGGGATTTTCCTGTCCTCTGAGTCTGTCACTCTGTCAGACTCCTACTTTTCCAGATGTTTGGTCTGGAAATTCAGTCAAGGTAAGGCAACTGTTGATGATGTCACTATACTTGGTTACCATAGAATAATGCTTAGCTCTGAAATCACCAACTGGGGGCTTTTCCAGACAGAGAAATCAAGGCAGCAAGGACCTCATGAGACTTGTCACTTAATAGTTCTGGCTCTATTTCTCTGTTTTTAAACAAGAAGAATTTTCCTCATCACACAATTCAAGAGAGCTTGGGCAGTCCCAGGCTGCTTCCTGCTAAATTCTTGGACTTTTTTTTGTCCTTCCTGACACCTTCTGCCATGTTTTCAGTGCCTTCACTCCACAAACACGTCTTGAGATCCCACTCTATAAAGGTACTGGGAGTACCCAGCAGTGAGGAACCCAACATGAATTCATCAGAGGTCACCTTCTCCCACTCTCACCTGGATCCTGACCTCCTGGCTCCAACTTCCACACCAGGTCCCACAATAGTAAATGGCTTGCTTCTCCAGCCAGGGACCATTGCTCAGACACTTCTGACATCCTGGCAGCTCCCTGACATCATGTCCTCGGACCCCAGGTCCCTGTCCTGGTGATATCAATTTGACAGCAGTTTTGGGCCCTCGGAAGCAGGGCTTGGGAATGTTCTAGGTCCAACACTTGCATTCTTTCCAGTCCTTTCTAGTTGTCATTCCTTCAGCTCATAAGAGCGCTGCTAATGATGACTGAGCTAGCTAGGCCTTACTTAGGAAGCATCTCTTACAATGAAAATCCCATAGTGACATAATTCTCCACTGTTCACAGGAAAATGCTGGATTAAACAAATGACAGTGACTGTCTGGCAACGGATGCACTGGATAATGCTTACCAGTTTTTCAGGTCATTTTTTTTTTTTTAAATTGAATCTTGGGATCAAGTGATTCACAATAATGAGGGGAAGAAAGAACTCTGGGCTTGTTTTAGCTCTCAGGATTATCCAATTGGAAGGGACTTTCGCTCTTCACACCGCCCCCCCCAAAGACAAAATGTTTAAGGTAAATTGCCAGTTTTTATTTATCTGGAAAATCCATTACTATTGAATGATGTTGGACTTGACCCATTCCCAAACAATAAAAAGAGGATTGAATGTTAAGATTCAGATTTTGTCTCTGAAAATCCCTTTAGAAAGGGATTTCCAAATCAGTCAGTATTCTTACAATTCTTGACTTTCTCACCCCCAAGACTGTCCCATCCCTTCTAGATAAGAGCATTATTTTCTGTCCCTTTGAGGAAGGCAGTGGCCCAGAGGCTGGAGGAATAAGGGACAATAAGGAGGTCAGCTTTTGCGCCGACCTATTTGAATGAAGGGATATTCTATGCGCGCCGCCTGGGCAAGAGTCTGTGGTTGTGCATTCACTGGCTGAGGTCCAAAATCTCCCTAATATGGAAAACTGAAATACGCCAGAAGAAAGACCTGTCTGGGAAGGACCTGGGTCCTCCCACCAAGGGGTCAGGGATGGCCAAAGGGGTCTCCTAACGCAGCAGTCTACGTGTGCAGCTGCTGGGTTAAAGAGATTTGGAAAGCGCTGAACGTTCCTGCTGGGATCTTGCCAAGCCCTGTTGGGAACCGGCTACAGTGCTTGTCTGGGGAAATTAGTTTTGCACTTTCACAGAGTGTGAAATTCCTCAGGGGCATTCTTGTACTCGGGAAGAGAAATCAAACCCAGCTCATTCCTTCAGGGTCTTTGCCATTAATAAAGCAGACGGAATCCAGTTCGCTGGGTCCAGCCTGGGGCCTGCGCTGGGCGGGGGGCAGAAGCCCTCCCCGAACCCGCGCAAGCTTGAGATTTTAGGGGATCCTGTTACCGGCTTATAAACACCGTGAGTGACAGCCAGCGCTCCCAAGCGTCCATAGAGGAGCTCAAACCCTTCCTATCTTCCTAGAAACCCTGGCTGCCCGGCCGGCTGCTTGCTGTCTGATGCAACAGTTTGCAACGCAGCTCTGGGAGTCGAGCCCTGCCGTGGGGCGCCTGGCGCCGGACCGAAGCGCATGCGCGGGCTGCAGCCCTGCCCCCGCCGGGCTCATGGAGGGGGGAAGCTTTTCTCCAGATGTGCTGGAGGCGGGGCCCGGAGGGCGGGGAGACCTTTGGCAGCTCGCGCCTGCGATCTGAGCTTAATTAAACTTCTCCCGAGGCATTGGCTGACTGATTGACCCAGTGATCCAAAAAAAATCAGAGAGGCCCGAATCGCCCCCAAACGCACTGGGAGAATGAAGTGGAGGAGTTGGCTTTCGGTTTCCAGAGCTGGGCCTTGGGATTCAACTTCCCTTGCCGAGCCTCCCAATCTCAGATGCAGTCGGGGTTCTAGAGCTCCTCAGTCAGGCCTCGTTGGCCTGTGGTTTAATTTGAAGGAGGGAACATGGCATCATAGGTTGTTTTTCAGAATTATCAACCATTCAGGTATTGTCTTTATGATTTTCTCCCATACCCACATTCCATCAATATTATATCTTTAATTGACTTTTTTATTTTATTTAACTTTTTTCTAAATTAACTTTAAATCGATTCCCTCTTTTTAATGTATCCTTGACCTAAGCAATAATATTAGCAAAACCACAGCTTGAAAAATAAATTCAGAATTTTTAAAAAATGTATATATGTTAGCTAACATTGTCTTGAAACTCTGGAGGTAATAATAGCTATTGGGTTCTAAGCATTGAATGCATTCTAATTCCTCATGACCACCTTAGGAGGTGGATGTTGTCTATATCTCACAGGAAAAGAAAGTGAGGCACAGAGAGGTTAAGCAACTAGCCTAAGATCACATAGCCAGGAGACAAATTCCACTACGTACATAGCTGTCCTAGACAAGGAGGACCAGGAGTAGGATTATCCAAATCCTAGTCCTTTTTCCAGAGCAAGCTTAAATGTCAGGGCCTGGATGAAGGCCGATAGGGAGGTGGGCAGCACAGGGATATTGGCATAAGGAGAGGGAGAATCATGGCAAGCAGGGTTCAAATACCAGTTCTGCCATCACTGTGGGACCTGAACCTTTTAGTTTCCTTATCTATCAATAAGGAAATAGTTTCTTCCCATACCTCCCATCTGGCCAACTCAGGACTTCTCTCTCAAACTAGAAATCTCTCCTCCGGGGGATTCTTCCTTCCTACCAAGGCCGGATGGGTGTGGGCCCCTCCAGTGTGTCCTCTGGGCTTTTTGTACTTACCTGGATTGTGGCACTTACCACCTCTGTGTTGTAATAATTCCCTGCTTCCCCTCCCCTCGCTGAACCTGGAGATCCTTGAGCACAGAGCCTTGACCTTGCTCACTGATGTGTCTACAGCACCTAGCTCAGTGCTGATGCACCGTGGGCACCCATTAGAACTAGGCAGGCCCTCTCCTTCCAGCTCCACAGGGGTGGCGACATCCACAGAGGAGGCAGAAGGACCCTCTGGCCTCCCCAGGTAACCCGCCCTGGGCACCAGGGCTCTGAAAGGTCCCCATAGGGCAAACCCAACTGGTGACATATAATGGGCAGAAATAACTAGGGTAAGGAACAGGGCTCCAGAATCTGTCTCTTGCAGGATGGACCCACTCAGTCCCACCCAGTGTCCAGGCGTTCTTTCCAAGGGCAGCACCCCTGAGCTCTGGCCTGTTTAGTGTGTGTCAAATGCACGTGTCACCTCTGATCATCTCTCAGTAGCCGCAGGAGGTAGGTTCTGTCCCTCCTGCCAGCTTAGCAGATAACAAAATAAAGGCTCCGAGAGCCTCAGCTGCTGTTGCTGGAGGTCCCTGGGGGTTAGTACTATCTGAAACTGAACCCAAGTCCAGTGACTCCACAGCTGAGCTTTGTTCCGCCTTTGGAAGCCAAATGGTGCTTCTAGGTATTTCTCTCTTCATCCCTACATCCTGGGGCGGTGAAGGTTTCCTATATCTGGTGTTTCATTTCTCTTCCCTAAAGTAACCCATAAGTCTCTGGTGTCCCGCAGAATCCTGGTGCGAGTCCTAGCTGCTCTCCTCCACGGACCACGGAACTGCTCAGAAGTTCCACCTATCAGCATTGAAACTACATTTCCCAGAATGCCATTCTTTTCGGGACAGAGAACAAAATACCCTATGTGAAACCATGTGTCTCCTATTTTGGGGTTGGAAAATTTGGTCACTTGCTTGGATAAAGATTGGCATGCCCATAGGCTAATTCTTCTGGCCCCAGGCAGACATGAGTTTCCCAGGCCTCGAAGATGGGGGAGGGGTGGGGCTATTGCAGCCAACAAAACCTTCAATTAGAGGCGTACAGGAACCTGGCGTATGGCTTGACCCCTGCACAGTAGGTATATTTTCCTCTCCGCAACAGCCCTCACCACCACCACCACCACCGCTTCCCTCTCATCACTTCCCTTCCTTTTCCCTTCTTCCAGATTCTTTTAATTGTACCACTGGGCCACTCCCTTGCTCCCACCCCCACCCCATGCCCACACCCACGGCTTTAACCGTTTCATATAAAATCCAGCCCACCAGACTGAGGTTTTCTTCGACCCAAATGTTATTTTCAGAAGGAGCCATTGAGGTTGGGGAGTAATTGCAGCGTTGGGCCTCTGCGAGCCGAGCTGAAAATAATCAGCGAGGCAGATGGGGCGGGAAGAGAGCGCGGTGCCCTTGCACCAGAGAGCCGAGAAACCCAGCAGAGTGAGTCAGAGGGAGGCAAGCGCCAGGCTGGGCCTGCCGGGCTTATGGCTGGGAGTTCAGTTAAGGGGAAACCGCCCAAGGTGTTGGGGCCTTTCACTGAAGCCCAGTCCAAGGTGGTTCCTGGCTGGACATCCCAAGTCCACATTTCTTGTGACAGCCGCTAAACTTCTCCTGCTCTTACTCAATTGGGCCATAGCAGCCACTGGGCCACATTGGAACTTGGCCTTGCCAGCTGGCTCCCTGGTCTTCACAGCAGGGTTCTCAGCTTAGGCACTATTGACAAGTTGGGCTGGATAGTTCTTTGTTGTGGGAAGCGGTCCTGTGCATTGTGGGATATTCAGCAGTGTCCCTGGTCTCTACCCTCTTGATGCCAGTAGCACACACACACTCACTCTGTCATGGGAGTCAGAAATGCCCCAGACCTGCCAGATGGAAAAGTCACCCCTGGTTGACAGCCGCTGGCCTAGAGTCATCATCTACGGAGGGGTCACATCATCTACCCTCATGGAGGCCTCATGGGCTTCCGTCACATCTGAGTGGGTCCAGATCCAAAGTATTGACCAAATGTTATTGCCAGTGGCAGTTGTTGGATGCCAGGACAAGTGCCCACTGGGTACCAGGCACTGTACTCAGGATTAATAACAAAGCAGAGAATGAGGCAGATGTGGCTCCTGTCCTCATGGAAATGACCAGCTTGTTGGGTATGCCAGGCATTCCAAGACCACCGGTGAGAGGCGTGAGGGCTACAGAATATAAAAGAGAATTTCTGACCCAGATTAGGCATTCAAAAAAAGCTCTTGGAAGCCAGGCATGGCGGCATATGCCTTTAATCCAGCAACTAGGGAGACTGCAAGTTCAAGGCCCGCCTCAGCAGTTTAGCAAGGCCATAAGCCACTTAGTGAGACTCTGCCTCAATACAAAGGACTGGGATGTAGCTCAGTGGTTAAGGGCCTGTGGGTTCAATCTCCTGTTAGTGCCCCCCACCCAAAAAAAAGGCTCTTGGAGGAAATGAGAAAATAGTCAATGGATACTCAAGGGTGGGGAGTGTTCTGCAGACCAGGGACAGTGTTCAGACACCTTGAATGAAGTGTGCCATATTTTAAGTATCCCAAAGAAGTTTGTCATGGACCAGGCTTAGGACAGCAGAGAAGCATTTTCTCCCCTCACCCCCAAAATTTGCATTTCCTGTCCTCCTCCTCCTCCAGTTCCTAGCAC